CCCGCATATCTGTGCGACTAGTGCAGTACCATTGTTCGCACCTAATACACATGTGATTTTTTTCTCTGATTCTGTTCATCATGCAATGTGGGACAGTCGATAAGTCTAGTCAGGAAAGCTTAGCACAGTCGATAAGTCTAGTCAGGAAAGCTTAGTGGCTGACTGTGGTTTGCGCTACACTGTGTTTACCGTGTGTACACAAATTTTTTTGCACCAGTAAAAATATAACAATCTTAATAGTTCAGAAGAAAGCTTTCATAGATGTATACGTGTGCTATAAAATAAAAAGCCTGGGTAATGGACAAACATGTTTTTTTTTACAGACAAAAACTGACCACTGCCTTCCGTCGGTCACTAACAATGCTGCACAAATGCCGAAGCCAATGTAAAAAAGTTGAAATTTTCAATGAAATATACGACATTGTATATAAGGTATGCCTTACGAGTTAATTTTCAATGTCTGGGCTCTCTAAAGTGCTTTTAAATCTAAGGACTCGGCTGCACAGGGTAACTCTGTTTTAAGTACAGTTTATGTACCGATGTGTCACAGTTTATGTGATAGTAATATTTTTGTGTAATGGTACCACGGCCAGATAAACGCAACTAAGGCTCCTCGCATGATCGATAAACTACAGTGCCGTAGTTATTCACCTACTAACAGTGCGCAAGTGCATGGCCTAGAGCCTGTGTTTTTTTCTTTTTTTTACAACTCTGTAGCTATAAAATGCTGCATTCACACACCCTGACCCGCAGGTCGCGGGTTCAAATCCCGGCTGCGGCGGCTGCATTTCCGATGGAGGCGGAAATGTTGTAGGCCCGTGTACTCAGATTTGGGTGCACGTTAAAGAACCCCAGGTGGTCAAAATTTCCGGAGCCCTCCACTGCGGCGTCTCTCATAATCATATGGTGGTTTTGGGACGTTAAACCCCACAAATCTATCTATCTGCATTCACACACCATTTAATGGTCCTCGTGCTTGGGAGGCTGCCAAAAGCATTTTGCGATGTGCTTGAAACAAAGGGGCACCCACTCTGAAGTTATTTTGGTAGATGGAGGGTACGACGACAAAAATTAGGGGACCCTTAAAGCTTCGCCTTTAAGTGTTGAACACGATAGAGAAATCCGGCCCCAGTGTGCCCTTTAACCACTAAGTTCATACTTATTATGTTTGGTTACACACACAAATGCATCCAAGCACGACGTATCTATAATAAGTGCAGGTTTTTGATCTATTTAACAGCACTTTTATAACAACTTTATACAGTGATATAGTCACATGTCCTGTATTATGAACTGCGCGTAGGCGTGACACCTGTATTTGTAAATGATCACATTCTGTCGTTCGTCTTGCGTTAGTTATCTGGCAATTGTTCGACTTGTTCTTCTGGAGACCCCTTCCGGCCAACCGCAACAAGCATCCCCTTATGATCAGTGAAATGGCAACTGCAGTTCTTCACTTCTTTTATGGTGTCATGAGAATAAAAAGCTAAATCTATGCAAGCGTTGTGGTTTATTAAAATGGCATTTCCTTGAAGGGGCATAAAGAGTCTCACAATGCCTCACAGATGGCGGCACATTATCTAGCGCTTGCTGTTTGCTTGATCAACGCCTCTGGAAAGGCATGACATGTTTTCCGCTAGATGTACATAGTTGTCCATTTCTAGAGCTGTTTGAAAGTTCCTGTGTGTTTTAGCTGCGATGGCTGCATTATCCCGGCCTTTTTGGACATAGTTTTATGGCCTCCCAAATGCGCCTACAAATCGCCGAATAGGCTAGTTTTCATCGTGACAGCTGTCGAACAAAATGCGTTAAGGAGACTCCTCTGCATCGCATTTATGTAGTGTTTTTGCCCAAAGCACTTGCAAGGAACATCGGGGCTTTGTGGTAGAACACCTGCTTGCCACGCAAACGACCCGGGTTCGATCTTCAACGGGACTGAATATTTTCTTCTTTATTTTATTTTCTTCTTTCTCGATTTTTCCCTCACAACCAATGCTGCCGACGGCGGGATTTCTGCGACACAAGCTCTCTAACGCTATCGCATTAATAAACAGCACTTTAGGAAGTTGCACTCGCCGATCTTATTACAATGCATTAGCAGCCGAGCAAGACCAAATGCCTTCGTACGTCGTTTCAGGCACACGTAAAAGCTGTTACACTTGCATGGACATGACTGAACAAACCACACTTTGAGAACGTGCATGACGTACACGCACACAGAAACACGGCGTCGCTAGCAGACGACGCACGGAGCAATCCACACTTCCCCTCTTCGGCTAGTTGCCGCCAGGTGGCAACTTTGCTCAATCTCACGGCCAATAAAGGTTCATACTACTGCCTTAATAATTAATAAAAGCAAACTCAAAGCATGCAAAAAGACATCTGCGCAGTCGGCCCAGAGCCCTCACAAAACACGACCATCCGCTGCCAAACCTACTAGCCAGAAAAACTTTCCGGTAGGAGTGTTCTTCCTCTGGCCTCTGCAGTGAACTTGTAGCACACCGACAGGCAGAGTTGAGGCTGGGGCAGCATGTGAATGTGCCTCTGGGGGCACGAAGACCAGTAGGAATCTCTGTAATACCACCCACACTTAATAGCCTCGCAGCAGGAGTATACACATTAGTAGGTATGATGGCTGTAGCAGGAACAGCAGAAAAATGTGCCGTCGGAAAACAAGTAGGTGCAGCATAAGCCATAGCAACAGAACCGACCTGAGCAGGCATCGCCAGGGCAGGAGTCGTCATTCTGTTTTGTAAGCTCTGGCATGACTCTTGTCCAAGTGGGAACATATGTGAATGCTGTGCCACACAACATCGGTAACAAAGCAGGGGCATGGGCAGTTGGAATGCGAGCCAGTGAAACATGGATTATTGCAACATGCCCTGTCAAAGCAGGTATCGTCGAAGTACAGGAAATCGCATTATGGCCGGATCTGACAGCAGAAGAATGTCTTGAGAATCGGCAGACTCCTCCATGATGTCCTTTTCTTCAGCATTGCAAACAGGTGTGATTCCTTGCCGGAAAAGTGGCAGCGTCGGCTCAGTGCTGCGATGAACCGCAGAGGAAGCACTACCACGGAAGCCGACGGCGACGCCAGCGAAAAGAAGTCAGACGCGTCGGTCAGTGAGATAGCTTTCAAAGTTGCCAGGCAGCCAGAGAAAGAGGGCACAAAGAAACGTCAATGTAGACACTTACTGAAGTGTGCGTTCGGAGTGCTTCTTTTTCTTCTCTAAATCGAGGGTATTTGTACTGAGAATTTCGCTCTCGTCTTTGAAAAATTTTTCTGTGCAGATTTGGGGACACGATTCCTGCTATAATTTGGCCGAACGGCAGCATGTCTGTATTCGCACCAAAATTACCACAATCGTTTAGTAGAGTAATATAGATGTTCTTTGGTGATACATTGAACCACAGCCGCTGTGAAAAAGATACATCCCGGGCACCGTCACTGTCACCTTGTGTAGGTTTTGCGCATCAGTCGCCTTTCTTGTCCTAAATCATCAACATCCAGAACGTATGTTTATGATTTACGCTTCAAAATTGATGTGCCAGACAAAAAAATTTGTCTCGTAGTCTTGCCATGCCTTCCTTTTGCTTTGCGCATGGCTGTTTGAGCACCGACGGCCGAGACGATGTAAGTAGGGCTTTGCAACTTCTTGCTTCAAAGAAAACGAAAACAGATAAATGAGCTGATTGCTACTGTGAAAGGAAGTGAATTTGAGCTTTCTTGAACCAGTGTTCTCTGCTCAAAACATTGTTGCGACAGGCACCACTATCAGGGTTTATCGCCATTCTATCTAATGGGAATGCCAGTGAAGTCTGCATCCTGTATGTCGTGTTGTGCCATTCATCTTTGTCCACGAGTAATGGTGGGCAGGCTCCGAGGGCGGCATTCTCGACGAGACGAACACAGCAGGTGTGATTTCGTATTCATATTGTACTCTACACAAGCAATCCATACTTCTGTTAGATGTCGTTTTGCGATTTATTACGTACCGCTGACGGCTTGCAGAGTAGATGTAGCGCCAGCTGAATGAAAATGCAGATAAAGCTCCAAGCAGCAGATGCCTTCTTCCTCCTCTTTACTACAATTATTTCAATAATTTACGCCCCGCCGTGGTGGTCTAGTGGCTAAGGTACTCGGCTGCTGACCCGCAGGTCGCGGGTTCAAATCCCGGCTGCGGCGGCTGCATTTCCGATGGAGGCGGAAATGTTGTAGGCCCGTGTGCTCAGATTTGGGCGCACGTTAAAGAACCCCAGATGGTCGAAATTTCCGGAGTCCTCCACTACAACATCTCTCATAATCATATGGTGGTTTTGGGACGTTAAACCTCACAAATCAATCAATTATTTCAATAATTTACAGCTCTGCGGAGGCTTATTCAGAGAATTTAGGTCATCTTCAACTTCAGTACTGTAGAATTGCATAAATGTCGTTCGGTATCTGGTATTATTCTGTCATACTTCCCAAATCAAACTGCATAATTTAAGGTATAATAGGTTTGACTTGTCTGAACAACATTGATGTTGATAACAAAAAGACGAAGCTGAAATCAGTGCTAGAAAAACGGGACACTAGACGATTATGCAAAAGTATAAGTGGTTTCACTAGACGATTATGCAAAAGTATAAGTGGTTTCACTATCTCACTCCAAACACATATCGAGAGTATTCATTTGAATACATGGCCCCGCCGCGGTGGTCTAGTGGCTAAGGCACTCGGCTGCTGACCCGCAGGTCGCGGGTTCGAATCCCGGCTGCGGCGGCTGCATTTCTGATGGAGGCGGAAATGTTGTAGGCCCGTGTGCTCATATTTGGGTGCACGTTAAAGAACCCCAGGTGGTCGAAATTTCCGGAGCCCTCCACTACGGCGTCTCTCATAATCATATAGTGGTTTTGGGACGTTAAACGCCACATATCAATCATTTGAATACATGTCCTAAGTACTCCTTTTATTCTGCATGTGTCAGTAACCCATCTATTCATATATACTGTTGCAGGTTATTCGAGAGCTGCTTGCTATAGACAACAGCATTGAGCAAGCGTCAAGACCCAGTGATTCTGGTGAAAGAGATTACGTAAGTGGGCTTTCACTTCTCTGGGAAATAATATTTAGCGTCATCACTAGTAACAACAGAAGCCGGTTTATTTCAGGATGACATTGCTGCAGAGCCAGTGTACAAAGCAGGACAGAGTCTGGCTTATGAGTCTGGACAAGCACTAGAGACACCACCTCAGCTAGTGTGTGAGCAGCATCAAGTCATAGATAAGTCTGTTCAAGTTGGACTGATAACACACCACGAAGCATCACAAGCAAATGAAGAGAAAATTCTGTCAACAAGTGCCACACAAACAGAGCCCCAAGCTGTGTCTTCAGGTATTTCTCTGCATTTGCCGTAACATAAAGTCAGTGTTTGCTGCAAGAGCAAAGGAGTGAATGCTACAGTAACAAATAGGAATACTATTTTAGGATAACAGCTGACACCTTTGAGATTCGTTTTGGCCTCATTTTACTAAACACCAATGTTGAAGTTGTTTTACAGTGAAAGCTGTTATGAAATTACCACTAGAGCCAGTTGGGCACTGCGGTAGTTTGTGGAGATGGGTTTGCACTAGGCTTACTTACTATGCGTAACCGTGTAGGGATGCGACGTCCTCCAGTGACGCTGCAGCAGGGTTCGTCGTTTTCTCCGACAGGGCGCAGAAACCACGCACGAGGCAGGATAACAACAACGACGGGTTTATTAACCCAAGATGCAGAACAGTGCGACACTCACGGGCTTGCAGGCCGTGTAATGAACTTTGTAAGACCGAGCAAGTATGCTTGCCTACGGCACGACGACTCCCGCACAAGGGCCGAAGTCAAACGCACGAACGAGAAGCTGCCTGCTGAGCAGCACGTCAACCCCTCATGAAGGCCTGAGAGCATCTGCCGCGATGAGCGAATCCTCGGGCGCAACATAGCTTGTAGGAAAAGAGGATGTCACGCACGGCCCAAAGGAAAATGGCGCTGCGTTGTGACGTAGGCCCGCGCAGCAAGCCAGCGTAGCGTGCCCAGACAGGGGAGCGCGAGACGGGGCCGAAGCTTGACTCACCCAGACCATGAGGCGCCCTGGCAGTCATCTTGTTGAATTCCGGCGCTTATGCGCGCCCGGGCTATGCGGTCGTCGCGCGTGTGGCTGGGGTGATGCTGCACCCATTTAGCTAGGATACGTGCTTTATGCGGTCTTGGAAAAAAGGTGCTCGACATTCAATGTGTTTGAGGCAGGTCTGAGTACTGCGGGCAGTCTTAGAGGAAGTGTGTGAGGTCTCCCTAAATGTTGCACGGGCTGTAAACGTCAGTCTGACATTTCTAGGCCACCAGAGTGTGGAGCTTAAAACATGAATTAAAGTTCCATAAGGCTGGTCAGGTTGGCATAAAGTGTGAAGCTGAGAAAATGGCATTTGAAGTTTCAATATGCACTGAAAAGTTTTGTATAATGAACTTTTACCACAAATTTTATACACGTTTTCTAACTATTACCCTGCAAAACAAAAACGATGTGCCTTATTTTACCCTTGGAATCATTTCTAAAAAATTTTTCCAATGTGGAAAGCATTATCAGAACCCCACCGCGACAAGCTGTTGAGGGGTTCAGAAAAGTTGTGGGGTATGAGGCTCAAACTTCTAGCTGTTAGGCAGCATGCTACCTTGGGTAATAAGTTGCCGTGTTTAGAACCCTTACGGGACCATGAAAATGTCTGGAAGACATGCTCAGGGGTGCCTGGCCGTCCCTTCTCTATTTGTAAAGAGGGGCTCATGCTGTCTCTACGGGTTAACTTTAACTCTGCGGCAGCCATTTCATGAGCCTTATATACATATAAACTGGGGGGGAGTGAGCAAGCACTCTATATAGGTCACCCAGCTACATGGGCAGGATGGGCAGGTAGTGTTGTTGACTGTAAAGTAGACTGTAGGGCCCGATGAGGCTCTTCGTTTTGGCAAAGACCCTGCAAGCATTCCGGTGTGTACATGCTTCCCGCGAATGTTGGCACTTGAATGAAAGAGTGAAATCCAAGGGGTTAGGTACTGCGAATGGACAGCTCTGCTGCTAATGTTCTGCTTGAGCTATTACATCTATGACATCTATGGCACCTGTTGCGATGTATTGTCCTGAGGAGCCGATTCCTTTCAAGAAGGCGAGTGAGCTGTTGTACTATATGTGTTCAGCTGGTTTTGATATGGAGGTTAGCATGGATTGTGCTAATCGTAATTTTTCAGGAACTTTAGTCAGTGTGCCTTGTAACTCCGACTCATCCATGATGAGTCGCATCAAGGACGATACACTTGAAGACAGGCACGTACCAACGCTGCCGCTTATTCCTGTGAAAAGACCTAATATCCTCGAACCACATGCTATACTTTTTGTGAGAGATAAGGACAGCAAAAGCACATAACACCTGACTTAGCAATATCCTCAAAGCCTAGACCCTGTTACTGAAAGCTTTGTGTGGACCTTCTGGGATGTGGCGATTTTTATATTGCCATTACATGCGTACAAAACGAAATGTATCTCATGCCACAGCACATCTAATAGGGGAGAATGCATGAGTATGCATAGGAATAAATATCGCAATCAGCAACTAGAAAACAGCCTTAGTGAAAATGGTAGTAGTAAATAAGCTAGAAAGTTAGAGCCCCTAATTTTTATGGTTAAAAGTCGAATGCAATGTCGGCATGCATGCACACTATCGCCTTCCCAATCGCTAGTCTGCGTTCTATTCTCGGTGGAGACGTAAATTGTGCCGCTAGGAAAGTTAAATTGCAGAGCTGATATTTTCATTTGTATCTATTGCTCGAATTTTCTTGCACAAGGAGCACTGCTTTTTCGCTTAAAACCAAAGATGCCGCTGCAGAGACTGGAATGGGTGACTACATGGGTAACTGCGCTCACCACGAAAAAAAAAATTTAGAAGTGTTCTGGGGAGCTAGTCTCCAAGCAGCAGGTGCAAATTCGGGAACAGATTAATGGATCAACACCTAAAGCGAAGCGTAGGGTATGCTAAGATTCCTTTTGGGCTGATGCAGGACATCTGGTGGTGCAAGACATGTTGTGCTGAAGGAAGGCATAAGCAGAGCAGAAGTCTAAAAATAAGAAAGTAGCAGAATTTGCCTTTCTGAGACAAACTTTGCTAGAAATGCAATCTGTGTCAGGGATAATGCTTAAACGCAGCCTTTCAGGGTCACCGAAATGGAGGACGCCTTAGGTAGAACAACCACAAGTGGTGCACCAGGCGCTGGCACAATTGCCCCGCCGCGGTGGTCTAGTGGCTAAGGTACTCGGCTGCTGACCTACAGGTCGCGGAATCGAATCCCGGCTGCGGCGGCTGCATTTCTGATGGAGGCAGAAATGTTGTAGGCCCGTGTGCTCAGATTTGGGTGCATGTTAAAGAACACCAAGTGGTCGAAATTTCCTAAGCCCTCCACTACGGCGCCTCTCATAATCATGTGGTGGTTTTGGGACAATAAACCCCACATATCATCATCATCATCATCAGGCGCTGGCACAATTACGGTAGGGTCAGGTTGCATCATCGGTTGCTAAGACTTGTCCTGAGGAAGTATGGCAAGCCCTCCTCCTAAGTAGCCTATTGGGCTGCTTATTTTTTACGTGTAGTAAGCAGAACTCTACACAGAAGCCAAAGTGCACCTGGGGAACTTTGATGATCAAATTCGACCTACACCACTTGTTTTGTGAAGGCCCATGATAGTTGAACATACCAACCACAAAATGGCTCAAATTCATTTATTATTCAACTGTTTTAAACTATCTCCCCTTCAAGCTTTATAGCATAGAACTTCTTGTATAATAGACAAAGAGACATGACAGGCTCACAGGTTTACTTTCAAATAACTTTTAATATTAGAGCTTGGAAATATCAATGCAGTGAAAGAAGAAAAGGGGCATTGAATCACCTGATCAAAGCAACACGCGTGCATTACATGGCACTTTCACCAGCAACCATCGAAAAACCGTATTTTACTTGGGATAAAAGAAGTTAAAAGTTACTTGAAAGCAAGTGCTTGTGCCTTCCATGTCTTTTTTGTCTTTCGTGCAAGAAGTTTCGTGCTATCAAGCTTGTAGCTAAGGATTACCAATTAGCCCGAACCAATGCCTTGCTCAGTTCCCTTCAATGGCAACTGTTTTTACTTATGAGCTACAAAAGGCGCTTGCACGAACTACTTCATTCACAGTAAGCGCTCCTCCTACAGCCAACGAAAAAGAGGAGAAGAACTTTCATCTGCGATGCCTTGAAGCAGTTTTATAAAAAGTTCAGAGAGATTTTGACTGTAGAATTAATCATTATTCCCAAATTCGTGGTTTTTCAAATCGCTTTACTTTTACTTCAAAATATCTGCTCCATTTTATATATCCGTAGTTCCGATTCATTAATTCTTAGTATTTTTTTTCTTTCATCACTGTCAGCATTTCAACCGACATAATCTAACAAAATTTAAGACTTTATTTTAGAACTATCCTGGTTCTTGGCCCATCCCTCCCGCATGTGTCTGTTATAGATACAAGGCTCTACTCTATTCTACTCTAATCTGAACTGGATGCTTACCTTCCTCCTCTGCATTCACCTAATCACAGCATGCCAAATGTCAAAGGGTCCTCTTTGAGTTCAGGAGGCACAGAACATGATTCCTGGGTCCTGTGGCAGCCTTGTACGAGTTTTTATGACGGACAGTCATCTCGTGCTGGCCCTCATTAGTGTATAAGTTCATGTAGTAGTAGTTTAACATAGCAAACACACATGTTTCTGCAGTCTAAGGGAGCACGGCTCTGAGGAGTTGCTGGTAAAAAAAACAATAAAATGGGAGGGACAGAAGTTACGGAAAAGAAGAATCAACCCTATCAAGATAAATGTATACTCATGACACAAGCTTAATAGCACTGTCTCTGTGCATTAGTAAAGCTCTGGCACTGGAAATAGAACCCAGAACCACCCAGAAGCTTGCCACATTATATTACTTCCTCTTCAACTAGTCCCGTTTCCTTGCACAAGTTCGTGCCATTCTCGCTTGTGTGTGCTTGAAGTAAGCATCTCATGTAATCCTAACTGCACTCCTAATGCAAATTTCAACTTTTTACAGTATCGCCAGAGTCATTCAATACTTTTACTGGTCATGAAGCTGCGCCGTAACTTTTTATGGGAGAGCTTTGTGCGGTGCAAGCAGAGGCCGGGGTGCATTTTAGCATCTTCGCCGGGGGCATCGGGCAGACGGTGGCCGCATGCCACCCCGGGTGTTGATCGTTAGTTTGGTGTTGTGCGTGTTTGTATGCTTGCATTCCCTTACCCATGCATACCTCATTAGAAGCAAGTAGCTAGTTGCGGGCGGCTCTACACCATTTCCACCTCCATCGATATGCAGCCGCCACAGCCGGGATTCAATTCCGCGACCTGCGGGTATCAGCCAAGTGCCTCAGCCACTGTACCACCGCGGCGGAACATGTGTCAAAACTTCTGTTTTAATTTCGTCATATAAAAACGTATGAAATAGGCT